ACTGACCCAACGAGGAGGAGTGACACAAAGATGCTTCAGTAGCCACTGAGCCCTTAACTGCTGAGCCGTTATGACCCCTTGTAAAGGGCCCCCTGCCTCTCACACTCACCCATGGCAGGGGAGGGGAGGGGTGCAGTGGGGCCCAGGCCCTTGGCGCATCCATCTTATGATGAGTAAAGGGAGGACTGGGTGGACCCCATTCTTATCATTAAGCCCAGCGCATCCTCTCCTCAGCAGGACAAGGCTTAGTGTTAGCAAAGGGGGACCCGTATGTGCTCCTGACACTGTCAGGCCTGGGGTCTGGGAAGAAGTGTGTATCCAGGCTGGATGAGGCAAGGACAGGTGATACCAGGGGCCTGCTTGTGCTTGGTGGCCCCCTCAGGGAGGTGTGAGTGTATCCCTGCGGCCCCCCAGTGACTAGTACTAGAGGACCTTTTCCCTTGTCCCCGAGTCCCAGGCACAGATGGATGCTGTCTAGAAGAACCACCTCCCATCCTAATATAATTGCTGGACCCCGACCCCCTCACTGGGCTGGGGCCCCATGGTGAGTGGAGGGGCAGCCAGAGTGGAGCGCGGGCAGGCGGTGTCCAGGCAGCAGCTTGGCTGGGAGCAGTCATGTGGGCGTCAGGCCCAGGAGGCCAGTCATCTGATGCAGCCGGACGGCCAGGAATCAGGGTTTCTGTGTCAGCCTCTCTTTGTGGGAGCAGCCTGGCCATGCACGGGGGTTTTTCCAGACCCGTGGGGAACACATGCACCCTGCTGAGGGTGTCTGTGACTGTGTCCTGCTGGGGGTTCTGTGGTGGCTGTCTCTCCTCCAGCCCAGGCCCTGCTACTCCCCCTGGCTGCTTTTCCCCTAGCCCCAACACAGCTTGGTCAGCGCCACCTCCGCCCAGACGGGGCCGTCAGTGCAGACCTGTTCATAAACTGGGATGAGCCTTGAAAACAACCCAATAGAACAAAGAGAAGCACCCACTGCCTGCGGACTCTCGTGGAGCCGTGGGACAGGGCCGGCGACCCGGGGCCTTCATGCCTGCACTGTGTCGCCTGGGTGCCTCTCCTGGAAAAAACATAAATGACTCACAAAAGGACAGGACACTTGTCTGACCCACTGACCTTCAACCAGGTGGTTGACAGGGACGACTGCATTGGGCTCGATTGTGTCCAAGACTGTGAGACGGGACAGGACAGGACAGGATTCAGGTCTGTTGTTCACAGGGTCGCTATGGGCCAACTCAAAAGCATCTAACCACGTCTTAACTCTATGCCATCGTGGCGATGTGTCTAACTCATCATACTGATGACTTTCTTCTAGTTGTGTAACTAATCTCCGTATCTTTTTATTATTATTCATTTTAATGGAAGTTTACAGAGACTTTAGATTTCCATTCATTCATTGTTGCACTTTTCCCCCTGCCCACCCCTCCCCTCCAGTTTGCTCTTCTCTTTGGAAAGTAAAAGAAAAATTCTTTCATTGTTATACAATCTCTCCCCCCAAGTCCACTCCACTATGCAGCCTTCATTCGGGACTCCTGTCATGACAATAATACCTAATCACATATCCCTTTTAAACAGTTTTCTCCCTCATCTTTTCAATGCAGTATACATTATTGAACCCATCCTTCTCAGTCTCTACCCAACCCTCATGTCAGTCCTGTTTTACAACAGTGGCACTATGCAGTATTTGTCCTTTTTTGACTGAGATATTTCATTCAGCATAACGTCCTCCAGGGTCCCCCATTTTGAATAATATTGCATGAGTTCCTTGTTTCTCAAGGCAGCATAATATTCCATTGTGTGAATATAACAGAGCTGCTCTAGCCATTCGTTTGTTGATGGGCACTTAGGTTGTTTCCAACTCTTTGCTATTGTGAACAAAGCCGTGATAAACATGGGTGTGCATGTATCTGCTTGGGTGACAGTTATGGTTTCTCTGGGGTATATTCTCAGTAGTGGAATTGCTGTGCCAAAAGGTATTTCTATTTGCAACTTTTTGAGAAAGTGTCATACCGCCTTCCACAGTGGTTGCACCATTTTACTCTCCCACCAACAATGAATAAGGGTTCCAGTTTCTCCACAACCTTGCCAGCATTTGTTGTTTGCTGTTCTGCTAGATTTTGCTCTTCTGCCTGGGGTGAGATAATATCTCATAGTTGTTTGGACATATAATTTTCTAAACCATCCCACCACCATTCACAAAAACTCACTGCCCACAAGCATAGCCTCCCCTCCCCCCACCGCACCCATGGTGTATTTCACGCAAATCCAAGTGACGGTGTTTTGCCAGCTGGCTTCCTGCATCTGAGTGGTGCACACTGTCCATGTGAGGCTGCACTCAGCTCCTGAGTATTTCTACCTAGAAGTGGAATCCCTGGGTCACAGTAATTCTTGGTTGAACTCTTTGATGACCTGCCAAGCTGCTTTCCGTGCGGTTGCACCATTCCTAGCCACACGCAACAGCTGGGCCATTCCTTTTCTTTTTCAAACACTTGGTTGTGATTCAGGTGAAAGTTTACAGAGCCAGTCGGTTTCCCATCCAACAAGGTATACACATTGTGATTTGTGACGTGGATTGCAATCCCACTGTGTAACCACATTCTTCCCACTTCCTCCCTGTGTGTCCTGTTTCTACTCATCTCTCCTAGCCCTCCTTGCCTCCTGTGCTTATTCCTGAAGGAATGCTGACCTTTGACTCTCGTGTAGCTGGCTGTTCTGAGGAATGCACTCCTCCCTGGCATACCAATCTCTGTTTAGGCCCGTCTGTTGTCTGGCTGAGAGCTGAGTCATAAAGTGAGTTTAATTCCAGGCTTGAAGGGTGACTAAGGGTCACAGTCTTGGGAGTCCACAGTCTATCAGACTCACAGATCCAGAACTGGTTTTATGGGTGTGGATCTATCAGCTTTTCATCTGAGGGGCTTCTGGGTGGACTAGAACCTCTAACCTTTTGGTATGCCGCCAAGCACTTAACCGTCTGCATCCCACACAGGAGAAGCCCTGCCTCCTCCTGGATGGGCTGGGGTCATTGTCTCCCCAAGACAAGCATGTGTCAGCTCTCCCGTCATGCTCTCCTCTGATCTCCCCCAAACCTGGGGACTTGTGGGGACCTCTTTGGGACACCGCCTCAGAGAGGGGAGCAAGCTGGCCTTCCTGACCTACTAAGCACGCTGTCCACTGAGTCCTGCCGTCAGGCTGTCCAGAAAGTTGAAGGACTGTGCTCCTTCATGTTGAGCTTCTGGAAGGCTGGGAAGTGTCCCCCTGCCTCCCTAGGACCAGGTCTGGCATGTAGTTTGTGCTCAGGAATGCTAATTAATTTACACTGAACTGTTATTCCTTGAAAAGTAGTTGCTGTTAAGTCAATTCTTGGCAACATCACTTGTCAGAGCAGAGCTGCAATCCATTGGCTCTGACAACCAGGCCTTTCTTCTGAGGCACCTCTGGGGGGGATTTGAACCCTCAACCTTCCTGCTAGCGGCCAAGTGTGTGAGCTGTTTGCATCTCTCAGGACAGTGGGGTAGCACAAGAGAATAGAATCTAGTCACTGACTCCTAGAAGCTGCTAGCTGGGCCTGGATACACTGTCCCCAGGGGTCTTTGTTCAGAACGAGTCCCGGTTGGGGAGTGAGTCTGTTCGAGCCCCGTTCACGCCCACATTCAGTCTTCTCTGGGAAATGTGGCCATGCCAGCACGATGCCACTGTCAATGTGGGTACCCCTGTGCCCGGTGTGGGACTGCCCCCAAGGGAGTGTGGGCCTGTGGCCCTATGGCCCTGTGGCCCTGTGGCCCTGAGCCTCCTCGTCCTCATCTGTCCATCATAGGAGAGTGAGCTTGCAAGGATTCAGAGAGGCCCTCTCCACCCTGTGATTCCCCGCGGGGTGAGGTCTCTGCACCGCCACCATGGCTCCGTCCGCTGGAGGGGGCGCTGAGCTCTGGGGATCCCAGAAACGCGGGGGCGGGGGGCCTAGGTCCTCCCAGTACTGCCTTCTGAGGATTGCACCGCCCTGGGCGAGTTAATTCCTATTTCTCATCTTACTTCCTCCACTGGGACATGGGGAGAAGACTTCGCAATTCATGGTGGGAGGGTCTCTGGAAACAAGCTTCTAAAGAGGCTTTGTAAGGTCCTCCTGACCGGGACCACGCCCCTTCACTGGACACTGCACCCCAAACACGGGGTCTTGGACCCCCTCCCCCCTTTTCTCCACCCAGACGACCTGAGGGAGTAGCAGCAAGTTTTCTGGTCTCTGGCCTGGGGCCACTCTCTAAGCCCTGTCAAAGCTGGTACCGCCTCCAAGCAGCCAGCCAACGCCAGGCCCTGCTTGCGCGCCACATAGAGGGGTCCAGGCCTTGTCCAGGGGGCAGGCCGGGAGGCAGTGACTCAAAGAGCCGATGGCAAGGAGGCAGGAAGGTGTAGGTCAGCCCGCAGGAGCGGCTTCAAGGGTTCTGTGTGGCCCTGGGCTTTAGGAGGGAAACTTTTCCCGAGGTGGGGAGGTAGGTGGCCCCTCCCAGACAACGTGGGGGTGTGACGCAGGGCGTGGAGCCAAGCCCGAGAGTATAGGTCTCCTGTGGATACGTGAGGTCCTCCGAAGAACGGAGGGGGCCAAGCCCCTACCCCCTGAATAACGAGAGTATGCAGGGGTATGGGCAAAGCAGTCCCTCCGCACCCCGCACATGGCCACGCCCCAGATACTGACCACGCCCCAACGCCCGTCCCTTGGT